CAGCATCAACAGACGAAAATTCGTCAACACAACATCCACGGCCTTGTGGGATGACGCATTGCCCAGCACAAGCAGAACGTTAGGATTGACCTGTCGCATTTGACTGTTGAATTCAACGATCCACTCTGAAAACAGAGCGATCTTCATCCATGCTTTTCGATTGTTATGGTACATGAACCCAAGCTGCTCCCTCGACAGTGACCCAAAGCACCGTGGTCGTACGGCCTTGCCAATGAACAGCACTGGCAGCTTGTGTGATCCATCTGCGTTGGCAGCCATTGCAGAAGAGATCCTGGACTTGTCCTTCATTGTCCCCGACACCTTCTTCTTGGCAATTGTAGTGTTGGGCTGTCGATTGTAGAACATAGCCGTTTCGTCCATGTTGTGTATACAGTATGTCTTGTGGCTCGTAGAGTAGAGTATCAACCAGCAGGTCTTGTCGGCCTCGGTGGACGATGTCCGGACCCACTGATCCCGCCTCGCTGTGAAGACGAAACATACGCAGATTGTTCCGTTGCTGGAAACGGTATAGCCAACTGTTGGAGAAGATGATGGACCTGGTGATGTTGAGACGCGCAGCGATTTGGTGTGCCTTCCTCTTGATCATTTGCCCGGTGATGCAGGCGTTTTTGTCGTTGGCGTTTTGAACCCAGGCTGCCAGTTCTCTTTCAAGCTCCGTGTGCTTTGGTGCTTTTATGTTGCAGCGCGACAGCATTGCGGCGGCATCAATGTTGGCTTCTGAGCAGTCACGGGTGCACTGGAGAATGCGGTTCACAGTAGATCGATTCAACGTGATGCCAAACTCGTGCATGACCCACGCGCATGTATCCTTTAACGTGCGATCAGTCGAGTTGCGGTAGTATGTATGCCCTGACTATGTCCTTCTGACTGAGTATGAGTCGCTTCGGTGGCGCTGGCATGGCAAAATGAAATGTCCTTCATCTGTGGCTATTAATGCTGCGTGGTGCCGATTACATTGGCGCCGGATTGGGTGCATGGTTTGAATTTCAAATTATATCGACTCTCTCTGTTCCTGTTGAAATTAATACTGGATAGGTTTAGATAAGTTATTAGTTTATACCTGGTTGCAAAATTCGGGGGATCACTGTAGTGTGTGTGTCCTCATCTTGGCATGTTGGACCCACAAGATGTGACATGACCAGTCAAAAATTGTTCAATTGATTTTTTATTCAAGTGAAAAATATAAAGAGATACG